TCCCTTCGCGAAAAGCCAAAACTCCAGAATGTTGACTTGGGAAAACCCCCTCTTCTTATAATTACCCAATGCCAAGCTTCATTCTTGAGCTTCGTTCCCCGCCTATGGGAGCTTTCCACCATCCCCACTTCGTTTCTCGCTTCTCCGGCACTCCGAAGACGTGAAACGGCAAAGCCGTGTGGCCAGGTCACATGAGGGTCTATGCCACCGGCAAACCATGCGATAATTCTTCCGGCTTGTGTATCGGTAATCATGAGGCTGTCGAATTCCTCACCATCAAATCCTTATTGTTGCAGATATAGCCCTTCAAATTTTGGAGAAAATCGCCAAGGCGCTTTGGAGGCGTTTCCCCCCTTCGCCAAGGGAGGGGTCTGAACTGAGCCAAGGAGAGGGGATTCCCATGAGCCTCAGCTCTTGGCTTTGGAGAAAAAAAAAAGCCATGAGTCGACTTTCAAGCCACCCGCAAGCCATCCGTCTTGGAGTCGTATCGCCAAGAGACGCCCACAAACTGGAGTCGGGCTCGGAGTAACATGGCTGCGAACCCAGCTGAGCCCTATGATCAAAAATGTTACCGAAGCAGTGGGGGTCACACACAGGCATGTCCATGTCCTTCATTCCTTGTGGGACGGAAAAACTAGTTCGTCACGAATACAATATGCGTTTTATGGGCCACGGGTCAATTTGTCAAGCCTGACAGAGACGACGATCTTTTCCTTGGCTCTTGCGAAATCAAGGTCGAGCTTCCTCTTGGAGCAACTCCGCCGCCTTTTGCAAACTCCACTACAACGGCTTTTGGACAATACGAGTGGGGGTCCATTCAACGTTGCGACTCTGACAAGTGGGATGATGCGATGAGATTGCAGCATACCATGCGTTCGCCTTGCCTGAATTTGTCTTATTCAGGCCTCTGTTTGGCTGATTGCTTACTCTAGCAGATTGAGGCTCTGGGACATGTGGGAACAGGGGTTGCTCACTGCAAGAAATCCTACGGTCCTTGAAACGTCAACACTTCATCCCTCGGCCGAGTGGGATAGAGTAGGTCAATGCAAACTAGAGTTTTGACTACAGAGCTTGGCAATTCCCGGTGTCTTGGACGCGTACTCTTGAAAATCCAGTAAAAAAAAGACCGAATGTCATAAATCACAGCAACAATTGCCTCGCTCCGGAGTTCTCGGAACCCGTAGGCGAGGAACCATCTCGGATCGTATCCCGATAGCGTTGCCTTTTCATCCCAACTCGTCATGATGCCATGGGTCCGGGTTCATCTTATCAATCGGATCAGGTATGCCCAGCCATACGCCGTTTCAGTACTATCCCTAGAACGGCCCCAAGTCTCCGCTCTTCATCAACATCAGGGCCTACGAGCTCCACTGCATTGCCATGGACATGCCTCAATCGGCTGGGCGATGTCGGCAGGCATTGACGCCTAGCTCTCGGTATTAATGAGGCCTCTCCTCCCGCTTGTTCGAACGACTTTGAACCGACTACTCAACCTCACCAGTCGTTCCTTTTCTATAGCCTAGTTGCTACCACGGTCGTTCTTTGTTCACGAAATACACCTCGGGAAGGTTGATATACACGAGCCACCATGCGTACCTTTACTCTCCTCTCGCCGCTCATCGCCGCGGCCTCTGCCTACGAGCAGTGGGTCAACGAGCCCGACACTGGTCTGCAGACCTTTCTCTCCGCCTCCAACTGGACTGAGGGATCCAAGCCTGCCCTTAAGGATATCCGCGGCGTCCCCGATTTTGACTTTGCTGCCCGCCAGGTCATGACTGACCAGCAGTACGCCTTCTACCGTACCGCTGCTGCCGGCGAGTGGGGTGAGTCTTGACCTCGATACACTATGGTCTTGTACCTAATTGTTATAGCCTACCGTCACAACCTTGAGGTTTGGGAGAAGGCTAGACTCCGTCCTCACCAGCTCGCTAGCGTCACTGGTCTCAACGAGACTCTTGGCGTTAGCATCTTCGGCCACAACTTCAGTGCTCCCATCTTCATCTCGCCTGCTGCCCGAGGTGCCTATGGTGACCCTGACCGTGCCGAGCTCAACTTTGTTGATGCCGCTGCCGAGGAGGACGTTCTCTATGTCGTATGTTGAATGATGTCTAATTCAAGCTATCAAGTACTGACACTCCAAGGCTGCTCTGTATGCCTCCAAGACTATTGAGGAGATCGGTGCCCAGCGCAAGAAGCATGACAGCACCATCTTTCAGCAGGTAAGAAACCTCACTGAGTATCATAGTAGTCTCCGTCTAACACATCCAGATCTACTCCAACGCCAACCTTTCTGTCACTTGGGACGCCATGAAGCGTGCTGAGGCTCAGGGTGTCAAGGCTTTTGTCTGGACCATCGATGCCCCTGCCACCTCTACTCGTCACCGTGCTGCCCGCTACGACACCACCAACGCGTATGTTGCCTCAACTATCTATCCATTAGAATCACTCACTAACTGGAGATTAGTAACGGTGCCACCTCCGTCCTGAGCGTATGTCTCCACTAACATCCCCCTATCTTTTCAAACCACTAACATCCACAGTGGGAACTCTTCGATGAGATCAAGTCTCACACCAAGCTCCCTATCATTCTTAAGGGCATCACCACCACTGAGGACGCCCTTAAGGCTGTCGAGAAGGGTGCCGACGGTATCTGGCTGTCCAACCACGGTGGTCGCCAGGTCGACTACTCTCCCTCTCCCCTCGAGATTGCCTACGAGCTCCGCCGCAACGCCCCCGAGGTCTTTGAGAAGACCGAGGTTCTCGCTGACAGCGGTGTCCGATACGGCAGCGATGTTATCAAGCTGCTGGCTCTCGGTGTCAAGGCCGTCGGCCTGGGTCGCCCGTAAGTTTTAAGAATTCCAAAGGCTGTACACGTGTGCTGACATTTGATAGCTTCATGTACTCCAACATCTACGGTGTCGAGGGCCCCAAGAAGCTGATCCAGATCCTCAAGACTGAGATCCTTGCTGATGCTGCCCAGATCGGCATCAACGATCTCCACAACATCCCCGCCAAGGTGGTAAGTTTGCTCTTTCACTATGAACAAGAAAACGGCTAACAACTTAGCTCAACACCCGTGCCCTTGAGCGAGATGTCTACCTCATCAACGAGAACTAAGCATAGATCATCCATCCTTCATGTATATACTTTGATAGACGATAGACACTTGGATATATATATCTGCGCTAGACTTGCACCTGCTGACCTTGACACGGGGATTAAGTTTTGACGTATACCACCGCCTTCCTCAGTTATACGCAATCCAAAGTAGACTATACGCCGTCCCTAAATGGTCCCCGAGGTGGCGTAAGTCTTCTCTTTGCTACCAATTTTCCCCAGGGTTGAAGCCTAAAACTTTACATGCTCACCAAAGACAAAGCGCACGGGGCTTGGTCTCTTCCAGCCTGACTGTAGTTCACCTTGCCTCAAGAGCCAGGCGGATGAATATCCAAGTTAGATATCCATTGTATGTGCTGGTTACTTCACTGGCTGTACCGTGCATGAAATGGAAGCATTAAGGGCTACTAATCAACCGCCGCTCTGTTCATATTCTCAGTTAACAGTCTCTCCTCCACCACGGAGGATTTCTGAAGCTGCTTGTTTCTGTGTCTCTCGATGTCGTCTTCAGATCCGCCCTGCGTTCAGCCCGGCTACATTTTTTGCCCTGCTTGGAAACGACTTGGACCCGAATTTTAGAGCTTGTGACATCTGCCCGCATCGAAAACCGCGTATAATACTCAAGGGTGTGTAACATTATTTGGTATACAACACTCATCCCGTGTGGCGAATACCCTTCAAAGTAATTCTTCAGCGAGAGCGCTCATTTCACTGGCCGGTTTCTGGTGGCGAGGTAGAAACGTTCCCACGTTTTAACAATACAGATCCTTGAGGGCTGTACAGAGTGTACGAGTCTGCGTTATTAAAAATATGGTCTTTTTTGCCACTAGTGATCTGACGGGTTGAGGGCTAATACGTCAAGGATATAAGTCGGGAAGTTGCCACTTGATGACCCTTTTGTGCTAGGACTTGCAGCCTCTTATGATCTCTAGGAGAACCAGTGGTGAAAGAAGTAGAGGTACATATTAGTTAGCAGGAATTTATCTTAGCCCTGTAGCACAACGTGGCACAACATAGCACAACCCCCTCCCGAGGCTCAGCTTGATCGAGCTTGCGCATCATCCCGCCATTAGATCCGGTTACATTACCGTTGCGACAGACACGAGCGGTTCATGCGCGTGCCTGGCCCGTTATAGCTCTCAAGATGCTTGGTGGCCATACCGCTCAAAACATCAGCATTGTAGCTCGCATCCACCTCCTTCTTGATATCATTCAACTTTCTCCCTTCTTTTACCCTCATAACAGTCTATTACGGCGAATCCCGCGCCTCTTTGGAAATGGCCTGGTCACAGGAGGCTATCATTGCCCTCGTTGGTGTTCTCATTAACCTCCCTACCTTTGGTATGGTTCTTTGGCGCATGTGTCGAAGACGGAACAACACCGACAATTCCACTGGATCTCTGGGTGGGTTCACACTCAAAATTCCTTGGTCATCTATGAGTCTCTAACTGGTTCTTCTCGCATAGAGGAAGGAGATTCCGAAGTCCATATTCAGGCCCCATGGCGCTTCACCACTGATTACGCCCTCGCGTTGCCTTACGCTGTGCCTCTGATCAGCCTGGCACAGCACCTTGGTCGACAATGATGCAGATGCATGCATTGCAAGTTAGAATATGAAAATGAACGGCGATTTTGTACTACTTGTTGTATTCGAAGTCAAGATTAGCTTTGTCGCATCAATTATAATCCACTATTCCATCCTCTCTAACGTGGTCTGGAACCCCACCAAGAACTTTGATCCAACGATCTCGGCAATATGACAAGGGGTTAAACGGCATGATCGATGCGACAATAGAGGCGGAGGATGAAATGCTGGCGTGGCAATATCGGTCAAGACGGGTTGCTCTGGGAGATGAAGGAGACAAGGTCGTACGTGTATCCACCTATGAATTCTGCCATTTTGACATTGCCATGAACTCGACCAACTCGTCGTGATAGAATTCAGGGAAAATATCCTCAGCATACTGCTTCCAGTCCTTATCAGCCGTCCTCTGGAAGAACTTGACATACTCCCAGTATTCAGGATACCAGCCACTATCCTCCCAATCCACGAGACCCTGTATCTTTCCGTCTTGGACCAAGATGTTCCTGGGGGTAAGGTCACAGTGAGTAAAGACAATGCGGTGATCGGTTCGTAGCCGCCGAGAAAGCGCCTCTCGTACCAGCGGGGGAGTATCTTCGTAGAGGCCTGATAACAAAAACTCATTGAAGGCCTTTTCGTCGCGACATGGTGGGGAATGGTACGTAAAGTGGACTCTGGTATCTCGTATCTGTTTACCGTCACAAGCACTGATGAGGCCCTGAGGAGGAGCCATAGCTCTCATCTTTTCGACAATCACCCGAAGCTGGCGAGCGATGTCCTTTTTCTGATCGACTGACAGTTCAGGCCATAACGTGTTGAGACTTTGTCCTTGAACATATCCCATCCGTATCTGAACTTGGCCATCCGGAGCCGTGTTGGCGTCGTGTACAGCCGGCACCGGGATCCCAGCGAGGGCGGCGGCTCTGAGGGCATCGGCTTCTCCCATTTCTATGCGTTTCCCGGATTTGACGACAGTATCATCAGGGTGGAGGACGACTTTGCGGTTGAACATCTTGTGCAAAACCACAGCACCTATTGAAATAGTTGAGCAAACATGTGCCTCGTGGGATGTCCTTTTCAGACTAACCTGGCTCGGTCTCATCTTCAGATTCAGATTCATCTGAAGACCTCGCCTGCCCCTTGGCTTTCCTTCTCTCTCTGAGCTTGGCGAGGTAGAGGGAATCACCTGGCTGTGTCCCGCGTGAGCGTGACACAACGTAAGTCGCTGAAGTCGGGGTCTGTGAGCCATCCATTGCTAATTCGGTCTTTCAGGTGTGTTCCAACACAGAGTAGTTGGCTTCTAGTAGCAAAAAGAGATGGCAGTAATTGAGTCCAAGTCTGGGTAACACAGCCCGCTTTGAGGTTTGCCGTGTACCAATCGGTCTGTTCCACTAGACCGTTTTACGTCAGGATCCTTAGGCAGCTATGCAAACGTCCTGCACCAAAGTCCAAGCCTCCAAGGCAAACCACCCTACCCCACCCAATACACTGAATACGGGATACCCTGCAACAAATACCGAGGCCATATGTTTCTTCACAAAAGATTGCAATTTTATGTGCCTAACATGGAAAGCAAAGAGTTGATAGATATGTATGCTGACTTGTTGCCGCCTCCCTACCCTGGCCTTCTCTACTTCCAGAGAATTCCTCTTCTTGCTTTAAAGATGGGAAAAGGACTCGCGTATGTTTTCCCTGAACAAGTGCAAGAAGGTTGGTCGGGTATTGCACTAGCGGCCCTTTATTTAGTGCTTGTTTTGTTTTACTGCTTGATCTAGGAACCGCAGGGGTTGTAAGCTCCCGTGCGGCCGTCACGAAACCAACCCTGTCTACTTAGCTGTGAGAGCGAGCAAAAAGGCCAGATTTAGGACATAGAAATTTGAAAGAAAATAGCATAATTTACTTAATTACATTAAAGATCTTTATTCTCTTTTTTCTTTCTTATATCTTGCTTTACTTGCTCCCAGTTCTTTTATAAAGAAGAGCCTTTTCGCCGCCTTCGCTGAGCGCAGTGTCTGCGAGGCGACCGATGGATTGCAGCTCATGTTCCGGACAGGACCGACCGTCTGGGCCGGACCATATGCTGACAGGGTAAAACTGCATCGAGAGGCGTCCATGCAGCCACCTCATAGTTCAAAAGAGCGGAGAGGTAGGTAGATAAAAAGCTGGCAGTCTCATCTCGTTGTTCTCTTGTCTAAAAGTCTCTTCAAGGTCCTTCCTTCCTTCCTTTGGCCTTACAGCAGTTTTGGTCATATTTTACTTTGTTTCCTCTTTGGAGATGGCCTGGTCCTCGGAGGCCATCATCGCCATGGTTGGAGTGCTCATCAACGTACCCACCTTTTGTCTAGTCCTCTGGCGTATATTACGGAAGAGAACCACCGGCAACGCAGCAGGATCTTCGGGCAAGCTCAAGCAATATTATTTTCTACGAGTCTCTAACTAATTTATCCTGTTTAGAGGACGGCGACCCTGATGCTCCCCTTCTCGCGCCCCGACGCTCCACCTGGGAGCCTGAGTACGCTCTCGCATTGCCCTACCACGCTGTGCCTCTGATCAACATGGCACAACACCCCGGCCGACGATGACGCATGCACTGCATTGAAACTTGAGGTGTGAAAGCGAACGGCGATATTATATATAAGGGGCTGTTTATTCTCATTGTTGGCACTATTCATTGTACCTTAGAGGTCGATATTAGCTTTGTCGCATCAATTAGACTATGATCCACCCATTCCCTTCATCCCACCCTTTTCAGTGTCGTCTGGAACCCCACCAACTCAAGCCCCGTAGCTCTCCCATCCTCCACTGTAAACACCATCTCATCCAGCGCCTTGAACTCATGAACCGCCCTATCTCCCATTCCCCAGGACAAGCAACTCGCATCCTTCCAGAATAATTGCGCATTTACCTGTGCGATCTCTTCCGGCGATCCAAGATCAAATGCAGCGCGCCAGGCTACCTTCTTCCCTGCGGTCAGGTCTGTCGGGTACAAGCGCGCAGAGACCTGAATCTCGGGGAGGGTTGTCGAGATAGCAGAGAGGTAATTGAGCCAGTGGGAATTGACGTCCGTACCACGAACCGTCCATTTCGCAATATTTAATCCGGGACCTTCATCGTCGACTTCGAGCACGAGTGTCGAGTTGGTCTTCTTGTTGATGTACTTCCCAGCAAACGATGTCTTTGCTTGTGTCTTGCCGGCAGCTTCAATCGCAGGCAGCATTGTCGTGACCACCTGCGAAAAGAGTAACTGCACAACACCACCCGAAGTCTCAGGTCCGTCGGTCAAAATACTAATAACAATGTCATAGTCCGGAATCATGGCGACGAGTGCGTGGTAAGTTCCCAAATCGCCGCCTTTGGTGTAAAACTCAACCAGTCGCTCGTCGGAGGTGACGTTGTCGGAGCGCATGATTTCCCACGGCGCGCCGAGATACATGCCGCGAGATGTGGTAAAAGAAACAGGCTTGAGCCATTTGTGTGTGGCTTCGAGGGTGAGTTGCTTGTTCTTGAGGATGGAGGAGCCGAATGCGAGAAGATCTTTGGTGGAGGAGTAATAACCACCAGCCCTACTCAGTAAGTAATTACACAATATCGCCAGGTTCAATTACTTACGGGTCTAGGATACCCAAGGTCGCGTTCCAATAGACGTCGTCCGGGCTGATGGCACCAACAGAGTCCTTGGGCTTGGTGTAAGTCGTACTCGACATGCCAGCTACGTCCAACACCTTCTCTTGAACAAAATCTTCAAACTTTTGTCCAGAGACTTCTTCAATCACCAATCCAAGAATGAGAAATGCGACATTCGAGTAGATTGGACTCGTCCAGGGTGAGTACACTGGGGACCGTTTGCCAAAGTTGTCCCAAAAGTCTGGAGCTGTTAGCTGTCGAAGTGCAGGGCTGGAGGTTGACTTACCAGGTACAGTACAGGCCTTAACACCACTGAATCCGATGCAACCGAGAACATCTTTCGCCTCTGGAAGACCAAGCTGGGTCCAGTCGATGGGAAAGCTCGCCAGATCAGTAGCCACTACACTCGTCAGCCAGGCTCTCACAAAGCATGCGACGACTTACAGTCCGCCGGGATACCGCCCATGTGCGAAGCCAACGCCTGCAGAGAAATACGGTCCCAATCGACGACGGTGATGTTATTCTTCTCATCCTGCTGCTTGCCCAGCTTCCTCAATTGAGGAAGATATTTTGTCACTGCGACGTCCATCCTCACACCCGACAACTTGAGCGCCGCAAGAACAGTAAAAGCCTTGGAGACACTTCCAATACGATAAACCGTGTCGGCATCAACCTTTTTGACTCCACGTGGATCCAAATTCGCCGGTGTGTGGTGCAGATTGAGGATCAGCTTGTCCTCATGAAGGGAAACCATGCCGATTGACATGGCCGTGTTGTTAAAAGATTCTGTAAGAGCCTCTAGCCCTTTTGTTAGAGTTTTAACAGCGGCTTTAACAGCATGGATGGTGCTTGGACTTGTCGGCGCAGGAAGGACTGGGCCTAGGGGAGGACAGTGATTGTTCTTTGCAGCGAGGCCATCACCAACAAGCATCAACACCAGAGGAAGCAAAGTCGACTTGAACAACATGATGAACGCCTACTCTCGAAAAAACAAGAATGGCTTGCATGAACCAATTCTCCGCTCAACTGTGGACTCGGCCTCATGATATACATCAACTAACCCCCCTGCACCGCGGAATCCGGCATCACCAAGTAACTGTTGGTTCTCACATCACCACCCATGTGAAAGAGCACCACTTTCCTAATTCATCATCGTCCCAAGAACTTGGGAATCACCAACACGTTTCTGTTACCAGATTTCTGGTGCATTATCTGGAGAGATGGATGAACAACCCTGTCCCAGGTGATCAAGCGAGCTTTGATCCCTCGGGGAACACTACTGATCCTGGCCTAAAATCAGCTTAGCACGCTTTCGAATTTCCGCTCTGACAATTTGTGTTTCCCAGTAAGCATCCGCAAGTCTATCCCTTATTCCCGGCCAAGGAAAAAAAAACGCCGTAAACGAAACCATTCTGGGTAATAACACGAGCATCGCCGACTCAACCCCCAACATTCTCACATGCACCAACACAGTAATATCCTACATTCATCTCGCATCGTACACTCCTCCGTCCCTGCTCCATCGCGTAGACGAAGACGGCGCAGACGTTGGATCGGTGCGGAATCTCTGCCCGAGACCACCACCTGAGTAAGGAGTTGGCCGACGGTCGGGATACACCACTGTTCGCCGACGTTGAGGACGGTCGTCTTCGTAGTCGTCCACTACTTCTTCGGTGCCGTGGTACACGCGCGGCCTCCCGTAACTGCCCCGTTCGGGCTCGACCATTGACCTCCGCCTCGCTCGGCCTGTACCACCACCCTGGTAGCTTGCCTCAGGTCGTCGAGTGATAGGGGGTCGTGATATCGTTTCTTCGTCTGAGTGGACGGCACGGGATGTACCCCCCCTCGGTCGGGTCTCGTAGATGTACTCGACGTCTCTCGAGCGTCCATCCTCCGGGGATACACTCGATGCCTTTCCGGTGCGTTGCGGCATGCTGTAGTTCGACGGCGGCGTGACAGGTTCCAAGGGAGGATCGCTTGATGTGGTAGACCGCTGACCACCTGAACGTCTCTTCTCCTCCCTGGTGGTGCTACCCCCCGTAGTCGACCTCCTCTCCCACCGTCCATCCTGCGTCTCGAAATCCTGCAGAACCTCAATGACCCTCCTCCTAAAAGACCGGTCGTCCTTCGGCTCCATTGACTCCCTCCTCTCAGATGCCAACTTGTCCCTGATAAGAGCCTCGATAGCGCCAACGCCTGAGTCCCCGTAGTACGACGATTCCCTCCCCGTCTTGCGTAGACAGTCGTCGATGATGCGTCGGATATGTTCAAGGGTTTGGACGGATTCCACCGAAGAGGCTCGGCCGGCTAGAGAAGCGCTCGGCAGCATGAACTCGGACCGCACACGTCCCGTGTCAGAGAGGAGATCTTCCTGGCCCATCTCTAGCTTCTTAATCTGTCTTCTCATCTTGCCAATCTCCTTGATCAACTTGTCCTGCCCTGCATTGTCCTCCGCGGGTCTAGCGGTAGCAGGTCTAGCCGGAACCTTCTTCTTGGGTGGTGGTGGCCTCTCAGTCTTGGGTGCTGGCGTAGCTGACCGTTGCTCGTAGCCATAGGTCACCCTCGGAGGCCGTGGAGCACGGGGCGGAGGCCGGGATGGGTAGGTGTTTGTTGGTTCAGGCTGGTAGTATTCGTCGCCGTAAGAGTACCTCCGAGGATCATCGTATCCCACCGAAGGCTGCGTGGTTGGAGGATAGATGTAAGGCGGTTGGGCGTACTGACCGGGGTAAGTGTACGGGACTGATGTGTTGGAGGCGTATCGTCCAGGATAGGATGGTGTCTGATACGTTGATGGATAACTCATCGGGACGGCAGAACCCCCGTAGAGAGGGTTAGGATTGTATGTGCTCTGGACTGGGGCAAAGGGATGACCAGTATAGCCGCTCTGTTGATAAGTAGGCTGACCCGTAGCCTGACCCGGAAAGCGACTGCTGCTCGGTACATTCGCTGTAGTCGGCTGTAGAGGCTGACGAGCCTCGGCACCATCTCTGTGGTGTTGTCGAGTAGGTCTCTCGGGCTGAGAGTCGCTCATGTCCGTAGCTGTGGCATCCTCACAAGTAGGCGGCTTATAGTTCCCAGATGCTCTCTTGTGAGCCCTATAAGCACCCGATTGTTGTTTATCCATGGCTGTGTGTCGGTCCCCAATTGTGTCGTATGCTCAGGGGACGTGATCAGTGACTGAACGGTAAAGCGTCAAGGATTGAACCATCCAGGTTAAAGGAGGGAACTAAACAGAGTAAACGTTAAAAGAATTGATGAAATGATTGATGAAAGTGATGAAAGATTGATAAAGGAAAGAATGGGGATGATGCAACAAAACAGCCGCTCACCATGTTTTTGACGCAACTCGACCTAACCACCAACACGTGTGTGTGTGAGAGCCTCACATAAACAGTCACAGCCACAGCCTCGATTTTCAACCTCTTGCCTCAACCGTGAGAAAACAATGCGGCTCGCCCATTCCCCTTCTTTTTTGCCACTGCGAACCAGTCCGCCAGGAGGCCGGACATCTGCCTTGTTCACGCGCGTGAGCAACACGCCCGGGCATCATACGAGCAGAGCAGACATATCTACCCAACACGATTGGGCTTCGGTCTTCCAAGGCTTTCTTTCTGCAGCCCAAAGATGCAGGCTATGCGGCCTCGTTGTGGGGATGGTGATGGCTGTGTTTTTGTACACTTTCGGCCGAGTCATTTTCAGCTGGGCTGCCTCGTCTTACTCTTTAGTTTATCATCAACTCTATCAACTCTTTATTTAAATCATCAATTCATCTCATAATTATCTACAAAATCCTCTTCCAGATTCAAAAGAAGTCCCGCCAAGAATGATGCGCAAAAGATGGCCTCAAAACACGTCGAGGTGCACTGCCGACCCTCCCAAATGGCCGACTCGGGCTGCCGGGACAGCAAACTCTGCATGCTCGTGCTGCCCGCTGACCTCCCTCTTGAGGCAAAGTGAGAAGTTGCTTCTGGATGTACTGTGGCATATAAAAACAATGGCCATGCGACACGGGCAGTAACTGAATCGCGTATGCCATGCCGCGTCAACATCACTCACCCATCCTTCATGTACGTCCTCGCCAATGGGAGCCTGCCATACACCGGTTTTGTTTACATTTCCACAAACGGCACGCATAAGCTTCGCGGAGCCTTCTCCCTATTCGCTCAACTAGGAATCAGGCCTTTGTTATGGCCTCTCGAGTTTCACGGGGACGTTAATCACCAACATGACTGGTGCTTGCGGTGCCCAGAATCTACAAGGCATGAAACTAGACCCTTTGCATTATCTGCATGCTCATCAGTGTCATGTAAGTGCAGAAGCGAGATCAGCCCTGCCAGACACTATTTGCCGTGGAAAGTCCATTTCACTATCCGCTCTATCACAAACAATGCCATTCGTTATTCTTCATCAATGCCAGCTAATCGACTAGCCTCTTCTTGTAAACTACACTCATCACCCTCCCAAATCCTCATTTTTACAAATTGCCTTTGTCCTAGACCATGCGTGTTTGTAGTTTGCTCTTCTCCTCTCGCAGCCCCTTGAGCTGCTTGTCAAACTCCTTGTTCACCCATTCCCAGTACGCTCCCCAGACGCTCGCCGCGCCTGCATTGCTGGTTGCGGCTCCAGCGTTTCCGGTCATCGCCTTCATCCTATCACCCAGCATCAGCGTCACCCGCAGGATGCTCTTGTTCGCCTCCTCCTGCTTCTCCAAGTCTTGCTTCACTGCGTTATCCTTCAGCTTGACAGAGAGAACAGAGCGGTACGCTTCAGCAATCGAGTTAAGACGTCTGGTCGTCTCCTCGGGATCGATTGTCATGAGTTTTGTCACCATCAGGTTGCACAGCTGTCGAATATCATTGTCGTCTCTGAGACCAGCCACCACACGGTCGAAAAAGTTAATGTTGTTGATGCGGCTAAACGCCGTCTCCATCAACGCATACAATGTCTCATATGCGCTCTGTTACAGGTTAGCTTGATCTCACATACGGTTATAGGCTTGCATACCTTTCGGACCTCGAGGCCATCGTCTACTGTGTGCTTGAACGGACCCATCATGACCTCTCTGACCAGCTCCTTCTTGATCACCGACTCGGTCAGAACAAAAGGCATAAGATCACCCAGGTGAGGGTGGATCAGATCCGGCTTATTTCTGGCAGCTGTCGTAAGAGTAGTCATTGCCAATCTTCGAATGTCCATATCCGAGTCTTGAAGCATAGTCAAGAGCATGTCAATCAGGACATTGTTCAGGAGAGCATCGAATGTCTCGTCACTCTCTGGAAGAGTGTAGCGGACAGCCTGGACCGCCATTCCACGGACACCAAGAGACTCATCCTTGAGAAGTGTCTATCCACCGTTAGCAATTTCCTACGTCATTAACAATGATAACATACCTGAAGACGCGGCATAAACACGGTAGGGTCTAGTGTAACTAGTCGGCCCACGCATTCAGCGCAAACCACCTTGTTATCCGCATTGTCCGAAGCCTTGAGGAGTTCGTCCCAGATGGCCGGTGCATAGTTGCGCAGGTCCGTTGACTGCGCCGAAATCGACTGCAGAATCTCCTTGATGGATTGGATGAGAAGGTACTGTGTGTTGCCACCCTTCTGCATGGTCTGCAGGATAACAGGCAGAAACTCGGGTACGTTGCCTGACCCGGCTCTGCCAAGGGCGATGGCCGCAGATAGCGACACCTTGTCGGGCTCGGCATGGAACTGGTCCAGGAAGAGATCAGGCTTGAGTGTCGAGCTGGTTCCCAGTCTCTTTCCGGCCTCTCCCAAGACAGCCAGGGCGAGGCTAACTCGAGCTTCGTCGTTGCCCTTCGCACTCGTGTAGAGTTCCGAAACAAAGCTGTCCAGCTTGACTCCCACTGACTCTCCTCCCGTCACGAGAAGAGTACCAATCACCTTGCCGACAACAGGGGGGTCACCGGCAACGCTAACGTCCTTGAGTAGACCTTGCATAAGAGCTTGACCAGCTCCGCTCTCTCCAATGCTACTGATCAAGACGAGCAAGTGGTCCAGAGCAATGCTCGAGTAGTGGGACTTGAGCAGCTCGCAGAGCGAGACGATCATTTCGTCCGTCACCACAAGCTCTGGGTGCTCTGGTACCATTTTAGCAAGAATGAGCAGTGTTGGTCCGAGAAGATGCGTATCACTGTTAGTGATGATCGGCATCAGTGCAGACACAATACCACCAATAGTGTCAGGCTCCAGCTGCTTCTGGCTAGCAGGCGATAGGACAAGGGCCTTGAGAGCGACAATGCTCGATCCACGGAGGGCTCGGTTGGCCTTTCGCAGCTGGGCAGCAAGCTCCAGGGCCACCTCCTGGATCCATTGTTGCTCAAGTTGGCCCAGTGTTTTGGCATAGCGGGAGACATTCTCCACAGCACGTACAGCAGCCAGGCGGGTCGTCTCGTTCTTGAGTCGTTCCCGCAGCACCTCCAATGCAGCCTTGCGCTTATCCTCAGACAGCAGAGATGAGCCCTCTGGGCTAGAGGTGCGCGAGATCAAGACACCGAGTGCGTGAATGGCTCGCTGGCGAACCTCTGCATCAGCGTCCTGGGCAGCAGCCCTATCCAGAAGGACTCCATACAGTTTGTCAAGTTCGGCCTTGTACTTAGTAGCCGTGTTGCGCGATCGGGGTGGGGTAATAGCCTTGATCAGCTCCTCAACAGTTCCTATGGCCTCGCTAGAGATCTTGTAGAAACGATTGTGGACGGCTGAGATGACTCCATCGACAATCTTTGTGAGATAAGGCTGCAGGATAGTCGATGAGTGAGTCTTGGCAATATCGCTGATAATCTCCAAGGCCGTGATTCTTAGTGTGCTTGGAGTAGCCGAGGAAGATCCAGCCTGCGAGGCCAGCGAAGTGGGCGCAGTCGCAGTACCAGAGGGTTGGATGGCCTCGATTATAGGACCAATAACCTGGTCAAAGTACTCGGCAAGTCCGCCATGCTGCACAGACACCATGTCATCCAGGAGGCTAATAACGGCCTGCTTTGTAGGAATAGTCTTTCCCTTGAGCTGCTTGGTAATGGCCTTGACGATAGATGGTGTCAGGCGAGCTAGATCAGCTCGAGGACCGGTCGTGGGGGTCTTTTCAAAGACGGGAGAGACAAGACCGGAACCAGTGAACTGGGAAGCTGATGACCCGCCAACACTGCTCTGGCGTCTTCGTTTCCTACTAATTGGGATGCGAGATTCGGATTCAGGCTCAAAGTCATCGAGCCCCAGGTCCTTCATGGCGAATCCTTCTCCAGTCTTGCGGATCAATAGAGAGAGAGCAGAAATAATCTCCAGTCGGACATTTTCCTCTCGCTCTTCGATTCGCTTGATGAGCAGAGGAGCTGCCTGATTGTAAAGCACACCGTTCTCGAGCAAATCTCCACTGCCGCGTGTCGAGATAAGCGTATACAGTGTCTTTGCGGCGCATCGTCGAACCTTCCAGCTGGCGTCGTCGTCATCGTCTTCAAAACCATCATCAGCATCAAATTCGTCGTCCTCGTCCATTTCGTCCTCTTCTTCCTCGTCTTCCATGTCCTCATCCTCATCGTCCATGGAATAATTAGGATCGTACTTGAGGAATCGCAAGCAGGAAGTTATCGTATCGTCTGTAAAGGGACGCATCTCCTGCGGGCAAGAAGCTAGGAAGGCCTCAAGAGCCACGAGAGAAGCTTCGCGCACCTCGTTAAACTCCTGACCCAGATCGTCTCCATCGCTGAGCGCCTCGAGATGTGCCTGGAGCTCTTCGTCGCCGAGTGCTTGCAGAATTTGAGGTGCAGCCTTGGGGACGTGTGGTCCAAAGCGAGCAGGAATCGATCGCGCGATACTACCAAGGATCGAAATATAGAGTCGCCTCGTAACCGGGCTGCTCTGGTTCTGGGAAAGACCAGCAGTAATTCGGTTCACCACCTCTTCCAGATGTTCCTCAGAGAGGTAGACAGCAAGCATGCTGATGGCAACGACCGCTCTCTTCTTGACAACTGACGAGCCCTTCTCGCTCTCGAGAAGCTGAATGACCACCTCTTGCATAGCCTCGACCTCGACCTGGACGAGCATGGGTCCAAAACATCGAACCACCTCAATCAGCACATCGACGGCTTCGGCGTTGAGATCGTTCTCATTTTGTAGGAGGCCCTCGGGGACGGAAGGAAGAGGGACATTGGGGTTGTTGGGAGTTCGTGTCTTGGGTCCGGGGCCGATAAGGCGGGGAATCAGGACTCGGCTGACAGCATTGTAGGCCTCCTGGACCTCTGAGGTAGGCGGGAGTCCCGGGACCGGTCGGTGAAGGGCGATAATTACGGATCGAAGAGCCAACGAGGGCACAGTATTGTCCACCGAGTTCTTAAGCTTCAGGTTGGACAGCTTCTCGATCATGGGAGCGATGATGGGTGTAGGGACCTTGCCCACGAGGGGTCCCAGGCTACCTCCGGGGTTAGCGGCTCCCAAGCGAGAAACAATCTCTCCAGCACATACCACTTGATTGCCAGGTTCTGGACCTCACCATTCTGGTCGTCGAGCGTCTTGATGATGCTATCAACTGTGCGCGCAGCGATGTTGTAGTCGTGATGGAGGAAATCGGGTTTGGCATTGTTGAGCAGCTGCAGCAGATCGTTCAGAGACATGAATCGAAAGTCCGGATCACTATCGCCGAGTTTCTGCACATGGCCCATCACCGCCTGCGGCGTGGCTAATGTTTGGTTAGAAGCCATGCCGGGCGAGCTTTCACGATGGCGTGAGAGAGCTGCTTCAGGCTTGGATCATGCGCGGGAGGGGGTGGATATCTGTAGCAGCAGAGCGCGGATCTGGTGCGTAAAGATGATGAAGAGTCTAGAATGAGAAGAAGGATTCAAAGTGAGCTGGCCTCGTGTCAACACGAGTGGTGTTGGTAGCAGTTCGGTTGGAGGGGTCGAGCTCACTCCAGGCAGCGGAAGAAGGTCGGAGCTCTGCGTGGGTGTTGTTGCCCCGCTATGACATCTCAGCAGCTGCCGCACTGACCGGGCAGCTGCTGTAGCCTGTCGGAGTTGGGGCTTTATTTATCCGGTTTCTCGCCCTGTGCCAAGTCCGCGGGGTGTCAAAATTAGCCGAACTCAGCTCGCCTTAAAGAGGCCAGTCCTAGCTCAGTTATTTTTGTCACTGGAGCACGACCATTGAGGCTATCTCCATCTATGAGATAGAGCCATCACGGTCCATCTTCCTATGTGTCAAGAATTGATTAGTAAATGTGCATTCTGGGATAATGTCTATACCCATGTAAGACAGGCCCTCAGTATCATTATGGTCCAAAATCATTTACAAGGTAGTCACCATGTTCTGGAAATGTCACTGTTCGATGCCTCCTCACGCAGCCAGGCACTGTTAGAAGCCAGCAAGACTTTTCCAAGTGCCCAGTTTCGTTTAGGCCACCGGAAAATTCCGGAATTGAAAAAAATCAATGTCTTATTCGAGCGGATCAAAGATCTTGTTTGCTACCCGTGACCGCTGGATTGCACCGGATAGTGGCAGCCGGGAGGACATCTTGAGAGCCTGGCAAACTTCTCTGGCAGTTTACAGGTAGGTCGCCAAAGATTCAATCCAGAAAGTAATCACTACCTTTTTCGAGTCAGCCAATCGCGTCCAATACCTGTGGCAGCTGAATCAGGCCGAGCAAGTGTGATTAGAAATGAAACCGTTGGAAATCAGAGTCCAGCAGGCCGAGCAAGTGTGATTAGAAATGAAACCGTTGGAAATCAGAGTCCAGCAGGCCTCCCAAGGTGACAGCCAATGAGCAGACCACCAAATGAGCAAAAAACAAACATTTCATTTCTTGTTCTAGTCTACGAAGTGCCTCATTTGCTGCCTATCATATTTGATTTGGTAGTCATGTCTGGAAAGGCTCCATAGAAACCCGGCACCTTTCTCTTGGTGACAGCCTAGAGGAAGATCGTAAGAAGCAGTACGTTTCACCAGGAGAGGACTTAGAGGCAGGCCACCAAAAAAAAGAAAAATCTGTATTATTCTAGGCTTATTCATGTGCCCTGTCTTCTGCCTGTGACGGATGAATTACACCAGATAGTTGTGGCTGGATCACTGAGTCGCTCAGGGGCATGCCCTGAGACCGTGATGATGCAATTAATCGGAACACAAATCGCAACAGGGACTCCTCATGCATCATGCAATGATTCATAGTGCCTTGAAACTCAGTACTGCATTCAGGTTGGCCTCTGCTATTAAACCAGCCCATTGATCATCGTCCTTCGACTCTAACCAAACAGCTCTCCTTTTACCACGACGCACAAACAATCCCAACTCCTACCCAATACCTTCTTGGTCAATAAAGAGATCAAAATGCTCTTTCTTTTGACCGTTGTTTCCTTCCTCTCGTTTGCTTCTGCAAACTTCCTCTTCAAAGGGAAACCTATCGGAGACCCTACCTACAACTCGGCCAAATACCACTGGGAATGCGGCAAGGTAAGACCTCCAGAGAATGCATTTCTGAATCTATTCAAGTCACTAATATTTTTTAATCTCAAGACCACTATCGCGATGCTCGATGACTGCGAAGCAATCTTCAACTAGATCCGCGCCCTCGGCAACACCACAGACGGAACGTTCAAACTCAACTGGTGGCCCGCCAGGACCTGGGACCACAAGTCCTGCAGGGCCCTGCTGCACGTCAAAGAACTCCCCACGAACGGCCTAAAGCTCCACGCGGAAGAGCTCGTCAAGGTGGCTCGGTGGGGAGCCGACGCCCTGTGCGGTGGGACATGGCAGCGTTCGATGGTCAGGCCCCAGAATGACACTTGGAGGCTGTACATCGTAGAGTCTATGTGGAATGAGAGTATTCCTTTCACTTAGCTGACAGGAGAAAATTGGTGGAGGAATCAGTGGGCTTCTTTACTTGGAGCATGGTCCACTTCTGACCAGGGGCATTTTGGATACAACTACATAGACAATGCAAATTCAAACACTAGATTATCTTTTAAATACCCTCCATAAAGAGCTTTTACTCCTTCCAGTAGTCTGCGGCTTAAAATACGCCCAAGTAAATCAAACTGAGTGTGGTCCAGTACCCGATGTGTCAACGCCCCTATATCACTCCCCCAGCCAACGCCGAGCAAGAGCCACATGGGGATATCTGGCGGCCAGCTGCTTACAGCTGTCAAACAGGTGCCCATGGAAAGCAGGAAAAAACGATCCACAAAGGTATTCAGTGCCTGGGAGATCAAGCCCAAAAAAGTTTTCCCTCCCGGAGAAATCAAACTCTTCCTCTCAAACATCTTCACCTCCTACACCCACCCACACACGATTCAAGTCCATCTGGCTTCATCATGGACGAGGAACCAAACAACGGCTCGGCCTTTCTGGCCAAAATCCCCATCGATATCATCTCGCACACCCTCTCGTTCCTCCCCGACAGGAAATCACTTCTCAACTCGATCCTGACCTGCCGGGATTTCCACAATGCTTACAACCTTTGTAAGACCTACATCGCCTCGACCATCTTCATCAGATCCATGCCCCAGAGCGTCTACGAGGAGGCTGCAATCTACTACCACCTCACCCGCGAGCAGTGGCACGGCGCCCGAGCTGGCATTCAGGCTATCAACCGCGTCTTTGCCAAGAAGCGTACTCTTGATGAAGGTCAGCTTCCTGTTAATCAGCGAATGACTATCAAGGATATAAAGACTATGCACATTTTCCACGACAATGCCGGGTGGTGGGCCAACAGAATCGCCACTAACCTCAAGCGAGACCATCCCGTTCTCAGTGGCCATACCTCCCCTTTCCAGCTTACTCCCACTGTCCTCAACCGCTTCAAGAGGGCCATTTACCGTCTCTACATGTACATCGATATCATGGACAAGGCAAATGCTTCATCTTGCGCTGACAACGGTGGTCACAACCCTCCCCTTCCTGAAGCTGAGCGAGAGGGAGCGCACTAGAGCTGGTGCTCCCACTTGGCTCAGTTGGAGCAGTACCGAATCAACAGAGCGTTCTTCTCCCACTTTTCAACTGTGGAGGCTGAACAGACGATCAACGTCTGTGAGCTACTTGTCGCCGAGATTGCCCCTTGTAAGTCCCCTATTTCAAAAATCTAACGGTTACAAAGCTGACATATCCCAGCGCTCAACAGATTCATCGACCAGGATATTGGGCTGGGTGGACTGGTGCCAGGCTATGTCGACTGCGCAGCTGCTGACATGCCCATGGTTGTCCAGGGTCTCGGGCTCATGCGTGACTTCATCAACGCTCGCACCTACAACCAGCGCTACACACTCATGCAGACTGTCAACCCTGATGACTGGAGACCTGAGCGCTCGGTCCGGCCCCGTTTCCCCCTTGGCGATCTGCAACTCCACTACGACTTTCATCATTGCGGTCTCGCCCCTGAGGATCTCAAGGAGTTGATCAATGAACCTCATCCGCTTTGGGTCTCTCGCGTGCCTTTCTACGACGATGGTGATATCGGTCCGCAGTGGGCTTGGAGAAAGTTCAATGCCCGGGCTGCCCTGTTTGGTGGTGAATTCTACCAAACCATGTATGTCGCTCGCCCTTGGGGTTATACCTTCTGGGACTACCACATGCTGGACGCCGGTAACATCATACGCCTCAACGAGGACGCAACCCGTGATCTCATGCCTACTCTCGGCCCCGGACACAAGATCTTCACAATTTGGTGTCCCTTTCTCCAGTGGAGAACGGTGGAAGCCTGCCGAAAGGTTCGCCTCGCCTACTATGTCAAGGCGGCTCTGCGGGCATGGGGCAGCATTGGGTGGTTCGATGCGGACAACTTTCCTCCTGATTATCTAGTGAGCGAGCTGATGACTATTTTCATGATACAACTGACAGAGGACGAGGAGGACGAGGAGGAAGACATGGCATTCATGGCCCTTCTTACATACGCCTATGAGTATTCCTTGCATCACGACATCTGTCTCGTTGCTCCCGACGAGTAGGCTCATTCTGAACCTAAGACGTCTGTTCTTTCAGGAACGCCAGAGACCAAGTCTCTTTCTTTTTTCTTTCTTTTTCTTTCTTTTCTCTCTCTTTTGATCCAACAATAGCTGAGAGTAAGTTGGCCCTCAGGACACCGAATCACTAAGTCTCTTTTGCTAATGACTCTTGAGAAGCAGGACTAACCCAGGCCTAAGCCTCATACAACTATGAGGAGTATTAGGGACAAGCCTAGTCTAAGAGGAAGGCTCATCAAGGGATCATCAACAAGCACACTGGGCAGTGCCACGGATAACATGGATTCTTGGGCCGGGGGTAGGAAATTGTCAGATACTGTACGAGCAGACTAGAAAATCATCGGTTGATGAACTCCATTGTGTGCCGTAGATGCGTAATGATATTGTGGCCAGTGGAGACATCATTAAGAACAACAAATATAGATGCGTGCAATAACACACCACGTAGTATTGAGTCTACACTAACAAAATGACCTCTACTCAGGTCCAGACTCAGGCCCAGGAGCTTGATAATGCAGAGTGAGTTGGTTGATCAACACCTCCAAGGGAATACCTGCATCCTGCAACGCCATCAGCGCGGAGACTGGATCAGCGTCAAACCCAGGACCAAAACCAAAAGAATAATCACTACCGGCGTCGATATGGTCGTCGTCAAACCCCTCAATTTCGTCAAACGGGGGCCCAGGATAACCGTAAACGTTGTCAATGTCAAACTCATCCATGTCATCATCCTCCCACTCCTCCTCGTCCTCCAGGGTCCAGACTGCCTTGTCCTCCCCTTCGAGGTCCTTTCTTCTGAACTTGTAGTGATCCCAGTCGATCTCGCACAGGTTCGGGACGAGACGCTTCCAGTCTTTGTCCCAGAGACTGTTAAGATTCGCGATGAGGGTGTCCTTGGAGCGCACGCTGGACGGGGCGTTCCTGATGAGCTCCTTCACCTTGAGGTACTTGAGCCGCGAGTGTATGACACCCGTGGACAGGGCCTTCATGGGCAGGGGGTGACCGGTGAGGCTGAGGCGTTCTGGGGCACCGACGGCGTGCAAAAGGGACTTTAAGGCGCGAGAACCTTCGAGGGCACGGGTTTCGAACCAGGTAAAGCGGATCTCGAGGAACTCAAGGTTGCGGAAAGCCAAGAACTTGCTCTTGTCATTGTCAGGATCGACTGCGTCCAAAGCCGAGTTGCTCAAAATGGTGTGTCCTGGATGGTACATTCCAGGGTGGAAAAGGTGCTCGGCACCAGATGGGCAATGGATGTAGAGCTTCTTGAGTGGTAGGTCCTTCTTGAAGTCACCCTTGACAACCATATCAGTGAACTCGTTGTCAAGGTCGACAGCGTTCAGGTAGAGCGTCTCCAGGTTCTCCCAAAGATGAGTCTTGTAGATGAAGAACTGTGCTCGCTCGTCCACGGCAATGGTCTCCTTCCAGGTGTTCAAGACCTTGAGCTTGGGCATCAGTTGATAACCCGTCATGTGTGCCGCATCAAAGAGGTAGGTCAACAAGGGCGCGACGGGCCTGCCATCCAAATCCTTCCAGACAAATGTCTGAACATTTGTCAACAAAATGAGGGTGGTCACAAACAACAGCTCAAGAACGGCGTCGTGGCGAAAGTCGGCGTTGAAGACGAAGCGGTCCTTCCTCCTCTCCCACAGCTGAGCAGCCCAGGCCAGGTTGGACAGGCCAAGACCGCTGAGCAGGCTGATTATCCCCGATCTTTGAGAACCATGACGCTTCTGCCAAAAGGCTCGACATTCCGGGAGCGCGTCCTTTCGTACTTGCGGTCCGTTGAGGCGGGCAACGCAGCCAAAGTGCTGGACGTACTGGCGGAGGCGCGGGGCATCGGCAATGGTGACGAAGAACTTGCACACCTCTTGCGGCTTCATTAGGACAACATGACGGTAGAGCAGGGGCTCCAAGAGGTCCCTGTTGGCTCTCGAGGCGTATGTGAGTGCGCGGAGATCCTTGTTGTGGTTCGTCGGTAGAAAACAAGGCCCATGGAGAGTCTCAAGGCTATTCCTGGGATCCAAGGTGAGCTGAAGGCCAATGTTGTAGATGATGTCAAGTGGCAGCTGTGGCGGAGCCTTCGGGCCTTCAGGCTTGGCAGCCCCAGGCTTCTTCTTGGAGCGTCTAGTCTTGCCCGCCATGGGTAGAGATTTGGTGGTGGTTAACAGATGCTCAAGATGTGGTTGAAGAGGGGAAATGAGACAGGTGGTGACGAGAGCCGACTGCTGGGGAATAAATCGACAGCCTCAGTTTTTGGTTGCTTGGGTTCCACGACGCAAGGCGACAAGGCCCCAATTAATCATCAGGGCCTAAAAAACGACCACAGGTCATAAGTAGTCCTGTAATCAAGCAATCACCCATGCCACTCGCCTTGAAAGAAGCAATGTTATCACCCCTGATTCACATTCCACCTGTAAAGTGTCTGGTGGCTGTAACAGCTGGAGGCGGGGGCTTATCACATCCTGGAAACCTACAATTGACGCCTCACCCTGGTAGCCTGGTGATGAACTACCAGATGCTACATAATACCTCAACAAAAGCAGAGTCTAAAGAACCTTAACGTTTACAGTATGTTACCAGTTACATCTCACTGATACCACGTTAGCTGCCTAGATAGATACGCCACAATACAACCGCCTCGTCACGATAAAAGAGGTTAACAATCCCAATGTCGCCCATGCGGGGTTGATCGCGCGATGGAGCTGGCCCGACAACTACCGAGTGGGGGCCTATCAAGGCCGGCACTGCACGAGCGATCTTTTCTCGCAGTAATAAATGGGCATATCATTACGAAGCCAAGTCATGGTCTCTTGATGGCAGTATTTAACAATGGTTACTTTGTTCGCCTGCAACCAAGGCCATTGTCTACTTATGGCAATATTGAAACAAATCCCGAAACGGGGAGATAGCCATAGCCCTGACACCAATGAAGCCACCACAACCAAACGCCAACTGCATCCATCATTTCCATTCTATTCTTCTAGAGATAAAGACTATTCTACGGCTTCGTGATACAGACCTTGCTCTCGCCAATTCTCTGCACAACAAACTCTTCCAGATTCGGCACCACAGCCAAGTGACCTCTCCACCAATCCTCAACCTTCTGCCGCATCTCATCCTGTCCCAGATCCTCTTCATCCTTCCACTCCTTCACCACAATCGACTTGAGCCGAGGATGCACAATACCCCTAGCAAGGGCCTTGAACGGTGGAGGATGTCCCGTGAGGTGAAGCTTCTCAGGGGCACCGAGCCAGTGCACAAACGCCTCGAGCATCACAGAGCCTTGTTCGTTGCGACGTGAAAAGTACCCAAAGCTAATGTCGAGTAGCTTGACCTTTTCAAATAGTCGGAAACTGGGCTCGCTCGGTGGTCGGAATAGCGAGTGGTGGGAGTCTGCCGGGGTTGAATAAACCCACAGGTTGGAAATGTCTGGACCTTTTTTCGCCCTCACTATGAGCTCCTCAACCGGCACCAGGTCCCCGACCCTGCCAGTCCGGTATGTCCGGTCTATAATTTTACCAAATCCATCGTCAAAGTCTGTGTCGCACAGTACCAGCCTGCGCAAGTTCTTCCAGTAACCGGGTGCCCATGAAAAGTTCTGGAGGTGCGAGTACCGCTCGCCGCGCGTCACATTGTGATAATTCAGGCCCATGACTTCCAACTCGGGCAACAGAGCATGACCATCCCTGACTGCCGATTTTAGAATTCTAGAGACCCACGTGTCTATCCTCTCAAACTGGTCGAGCTGCCATACGAGAGTTTTGACCCTGGGCGTACTGAGCAGGATAGATTGGATCATGTAGTCGATATCTCCACGCATCTTTAAATGTGGTCCAAGATGTTCTGCTGGCACCTCCTCCATTCCTGAAAATACGCCGACGAATGGTTCCCAAGCTTCGCCTTGCTTCATCAGGGACAGCTTGTTCTCTCTGCCACTGATCCGCTCATCCAGGATCTTCCCCAGTACCCGGTTGACGCGAAGATCAAGCATGCTGCCAGGAGAACGTCTATGCGTATCACAGGCCAAGTGGCGGACATATCCTCGGATCCGTGGTATCTGGATGAGGTCGATGTAGAAGTGGACAACATCCATGGGGGTTCGGAGAAGAACGAAGCGGAACAGAAGCGGCTCCAAGAGCCTCTTGGTCGCTCGGGAGAGGTAGGTGAGTTTGCGCAGGTAATACATGTCCATCTCGAAGTCGCCTCCCTCAGCAGGAGTCGGGGCCGTTTCCCAAGGTTCGGGCAGAAAGCATAGTCCGACATGATAGATGATGTCCTCTATCAAGGGCTGTCTTGCTGAAGTCGCCATTGGGTGTTATAGAGTGTGTATGTCGAGCTTGGGTAATGTTTGAACTGTGGCCAAAAACACACGTGGTCGTAGATGGTACTGGAGTTCTCAAAGACAGGGTAGCGGACTCATTAGGATATCTCTCAAGGACACAATGATGTGGTATGGCTCCGTCAAACGATGAGTAGGGAGGTAAGTAGGTATCGCTTATAGGGACATCCAATGATGAATAGTAGCTTGTATCGGAAATTTTACGGCAAAAGATCTATGTCCAAGTCAATCATGGTTGAGTAGGACTATGTTCTTATAACCAAGCAGGGTAGGACAGCAATTGTAGTGGCGCAGTCGAAGGATCACGGCTGCTAGGACTACGTACTGATACCTATTTACTTGAAACACCATGAAGTCACCTCCCATGATATTTAATTAATTCGCCCTCCAACTTAACGAAACTAAGTACCACCAACATAGGATAGCTACTGACTTTGTGAATGTTTTGGTGATATCTACAGTCGGTAGCCGTGGAGGCTAGGACTTGCCTAGGCACGCAGCAATTACATCTATACGGTGCCGGTATCCAAGTGGTGATTATCCCATTTGATAGCATGAGAGGTTACAATGTAATTAGGATACCCATTTAGAACAAACAAACATGATATTATTCAAAGAGCCATTCACAAGTTAGACGCTTCCATGAGCCCAGCATCTTTTGCCAAGTGCTTGCCGTGTTATGACACGGCCCCACACCCCACCTCGGGCGGCATCATCACCGCCCTCCAACGCTCCAGCATCCCGTCAACACCGCGTGCTTATCAAAACAATAACCCAAGCCTATACGAGATCCAATCTATCCCACCCAAGATGGTACATTCCCCTCCCCCAATAACCAACACAATCTAACTTCCCATAGAACAAAGACTCTTGCTTCACCTTTATCCACATGCAACGTCCCCGCGACGCAGACCTCTTTGAGGACTTTTGCAAAGACAAGCTCCCCGACGACGAGATCTACGTCCCTCCCGCCCACCAGCCCATCAACCCCGAAGACGAAGACGACGTCGTGCCCGACCAGCACGCCGCCTTTGGCATCCAGCGGGCTACGCAAAAGTCAAAGGAGCCGGCTTGGAAGGATCTGGGACTCGCGCAGCTGATGAACAAGGGACCTGGGGCTGGGAGTAGTGCTAAGCCCAAGGGGAGTCGTTCGCTGCCGAGGTGAAGGGTTATCATGTTGAAGATTCTTTAAGCAAGGCGTTAAGAGGATTGTTTACGAGAAACGTATGGATGTTGAGCGGATGTTCAACACTTAAATAGACACGGCATGATATTGCCAGATAATAACGAGACATGCGTCCCTTCTAATATCCCATTCCAAACTCCAAACTCCAACACCCACCCATCAACCCAAAAAACCCTTAGGTCTTACCCAGGAATCCCTCCCTCTCCAACACCTCGGATCGAAACTTGACCAAAAACACCGTCTTGCCAGGCCACATCTCTCCCTCGGCAACCGTATGCGCCGTGACCCTCGCGGGGAAATCAGCCCCGTCGCACACACCCTCTACGACGCCGGCGACAAAGGCGGCGCAGTTGAGCTGGCTCATCTCCTTGGGCACGCTGATGTACTGGTTCACCAGCGGCTCGTTGTCGATAATCATGTACTCGTCGGGCGTCTCGGGGTTTGCCGACTTTTCGAGACGGTCGGCTTGTCGGTTGAAGAGGTGCTGCCATACGTTTTGCTTGATGAAGTGGAGGAGCGCGATGACGTTTAGAGGGCGGAGCTGTGTTCGTGCTGGCTCGCGGAAGAGGAGGAGGTCGAGGAGTTTTAGACCGATCGAGTGGCCTTGAAGGTTGAGGCTACAAACCATCCATTAGCTGTCGTCTTTCAAGTTCGTTCAGATTGGCTTGTCCTACCGTTGTTCCAACTCCTGAATGCCCTTGACGCGCCTCTGCGCATACGTAACCATCTCCCCAAACAAATACGCAAAGCTAGCCTGGCTAAGCTCAGCAGTCTTGGAGCGGTTCAGCGGCCGATGGTAGATGGTCTTTCCATTGCTGGGATATCGCAGGCCGGGCTCCTTGCCGCCGCCGGTGGTGGCGTTTGGCGCGCCGGAGCCAGATTGGAGGTTGCTCATGATGGGCAGCGTCGACTTGGCATGCTGCGGGCTGCTGGTAGCCCGTGATGCGCTTGAAGTTAAAGGTCGCGATATTGGTTTAGGAGGGTGTGTCGCATGTGTAAACGTGGGCTTGGGGATGGGACGGTGAGATGAGGGTGGGGTGTGGAGCTGTCTCACCGAGGTTGACCGAGAGCTCTCACCTTGGATGGCAGACGAACTAAGCAGATAGGGAGGTAACTTAGAACGTATATAGAAGACTACCAATACTAAATACTAAACGAATGACGGATTTCATATAAACTAATCAATCTTTTTTTACTTTGGATGTCTAAATACATCACCATTAAGTAAAAGCATGCACACCCCCAACCTCTCATCAACCTAAATACTCCATTTTAGTTTCTCCTCGACCCTCTCTCAAAACGCCATTCTTTCACTCTTCCTCACTGAACAGTAGCAACCTTAGACTTAGCCTCCTTCTGCTTCATGGTAGCCTCGATCCACCCAGCTGCATCCTCCAGAGCCTTGCGGGGGCTCTTCTTCCGCTTGAGGAGGAATCCCTGGATCTCTGCCGGTGAGAACATTGCTTCTGGGATGAGGCTGCCGAATTCTTCAGAGATTTTCTTGAGTTCTTCAGGTTCAAGGTCTTCTTCGGTGTTCTTGATGTCTGCAGGACCGAGGATGCTTCCGTTCTGTACCTTGGTCGTAGTAGTAGCTGACTTGGAAGATGTCTGCTCTTTGAGACAGAGGGCAGGGTTAGGTCGAGAAATCTCGTACATGCGGTAAAACAGCTCAGTTGCCTGAATACTCGTCGCATTCTTGAATCCCACTTGTACATCGACACGGCCAGGTCGGATGAGGGCCTCGTCCAGTGACTCGGGCTTGTTGGTGGTCATGATGAGGATACGACCCTCGTGCGAGGCGACGCCGTCGATGGCGTTGAGAAGGCCAGAGAGAGAGATGCTCTCCACAGACAGGATATTATTAGTAGTCCTGCTGGTCGTGCTCTCTTTGTTCTTGCTGCTCTTCTTCTTCTTGTTCTTCTTGCGTCTCTTATGGTCCTCTTCGGAGCTAGAAGTGTCACTGTCGGTTGTGTCGTCCTTAGGCTTCTTGGTCTTCTTTTCTTTGGTCGTCTTTTCCTTCTTTGTCTTTTCGTCACTCTTGGTTTCAGTCTCCTTTTCACTCTTCTTTTCTTCATCGTCTTCTTCATCATCATCACCTGGTCGGCGCAGACCAGCTGTGTCAATGTCCTCTAAAAGAACAATGCACCGACGAGGAAGTCTCGTGAACAAGACAGCCAGATCCTCCTCACCGATGGTAGGGTCCTGCAAGCTGATGACATAAATGTCGATACCAAAAACACCAGCCAGCGCAAAGGAGAAGCTAGTCTTTCCCGTTCCGGGAGGGCCGTGGAAGAGGTAACCCCGGCGGAGAGGAATACCGCGAGACGCGTACCACCTAGGAGTCGCAGGGTGCAGGTATTCGTTGATGTCTTTCAGGACGTCGTGCTTCTCCTCCTTCTCGAGGACCACGGTGCGCATCGGGCGGAAGGGCCTTCTTGCGACCTGCTGCCACATGCTCCACGCGTCACGACGACTCTCCTTGTTCCTAGGCCGGTAGATTGTCGTCTTTTGGCGCGTGTCGAGGAAGTAGGCAGTCTTGGCGTCTGCTAGAAGTTGCTTGATGGGGTCTGTACTTTTGTTAATGGTGGCTATGGCGATAGGGGTTGGGATACTCACCAATCGATCGGCCAAAGCAAGAAATCTTGAGCTCCTCAACATCCTTCTGGTTGGCCCAGGGGTTGCTACTCTGCAAGGACTCTCTTCTTCTGTTAACCTTGAAGTAGGTCCCGTTGTGCCAAAACCCAGTGGTTCCCATGGCCGGGACATAGCGAGGGCTCTGTAACTAGTCAACACTCTACACAAAAGCAACTTAACTTGGAAACTCACACATCGAGCTGCCTGGCTAGCAAAGTTGAGATACTTTGGAGAATCCTCCTCGTCATCAACACTCGTCGTCGCCAGAAACTTTGCCGAATCCTCCTCCTCATCCCACGCGCTCTTAAACACAGTCTGTGCCGTGAGGTGTCGATTCGTGGCAATGTCCTGCTGCTCAGACAGAAACTGCATCAGGTTCGTGTACATCTGATCCGTCTCGCTGACGCAGATGGTGCACCGAAAGTACAGGCTGATGAAGTAGTCCACCAAGGCGTACGCCTGGTCAAACAACTTGGATAAGCCCCAGAGGCAACCCAGGCCCGTCAAGAGTATAGATGGATCGAGACCCAGCTGAGCTCCGATGAGTCGGTAGACGAAGAGGAATAGCTGGAGAAGCGGCGAGGCTTGGCCGGCGGACACGAGAAAGGTGTCCATGATGCCAGACGGGAACCCCGCCGAGGAGTTGAAGGGCGACGAGGTCGAGTTCATGCCCTGTAGAAAAGGAGGTAGTCCCAGTTTCTCCATCATGGACATTGATGCCATAGCGATTGTTTTTTTTTTTTGCAAGAAGTATGTTCTTTCTGTCTAGTCCCAGAGTTTTTGAAGAAAGGGCAAGTGTTTCCCCAGCTCTCTAGCCAAGCGCCAAAGACAAGAGAGAGAGAACTCTTCTGCACCAGTGACTGTCACACAGCCTTTCCAAACCCCCTCCCCTCTTCTCTTCTTATAACCAGATGACCGGCGGCTAAGTAAGTAAGGTGGGTGACGAGACTCCTGCAGCCCAGTTTCCTCTCCCTTCACCAGAGGGAACAACGCAGTGAAGGGACAAGGGTGTGTGTTAGGCTGCAGTGAGGCGTGAAAACGGCCCCCAAACTTGACCAACTCTTCACGGGTACTGCAGGTTGATATTGGACAAAGATAACACAACAAAAAGCAGTAAACAATCTGCCCAGTCGTGTTTCTTTTTTTTTCAAGTCACGCAGTCTTTTTTTTTTTTGTTTTCGTCAAGCTGCATCACGGGTGAACAAAAGGCTAGAGCCCGTCCTCTTTGTGTAACCACCGAATGCATATTAGTCTTGGCGATGCTCGTCCACGTTGGAGCCAACGGTTGGGAGGAGTGGTTTGTGCCATCTTTTGCATCGAGCCAATAGTCCTTCAGGATGAGAAACACGGAATGTAGAAGCACTCGAACCAAGAGACGGGAAGAAGCGGAGCTAAACCCCGGAGAGCAAACTCCTTTCGTGTGTCTCTCTTGTTGGTGGGAGCTTGAAAATGAAAAAGTGTGTGCCCATATGTAGGCTGCGAAATCCAGGCAGGCAAACTCGTCGTGTCAAGCACTCACATCCGAAAGGCGTAAGGAGTGATTTCTTGTCTTACGCACAAACATCAACACCAAAAACTGAGTTGTCAAACTTTCCCCCGCTTCATCGAGACCGTGAATGTGCACTTTTGCACATCCTTGCCTGAAAGCGAACACGAAGTAGGAGTCAGATGATGGATGACCCTGCATAGCTCACTCAGCCTTATGCCATGCATGAACAGATCTAAGAGAAAAAGTAGGAAAAGAAAGAAACGAAAAAAGAGGCTATGTGTGTCTGCCTAACATATCCCTTTGCGTTGCGGGTTGCCTTTCGTCTAAGCTGTCATGTCCGCTTTTGGAAATACACACATTGTTTTTGGATCAAACAGCAGGGGTTCCCTTTGTATCATGTCCATCTCATCCATCCGGTGACACTGGGAGACAAACCATGTGAGCGTTGTTGTCGAGCCTCGCCGTCTTCATCCTATGCCACGACAGTAGGCTGCTCAGCGATACTCTCAAGCCCAGTCTCGGCCAGCTTCTCAGCGACTCCATCAACATCACCTCCAAACTTGACACCCTTGACGCTCACGTCAGTTCCGCCGGCGAGGTAGTCCTCCGACTCGCCCACCTCCTTGCCGGCCGCCTCCCACCGACGGAACCTCTCCTCGCGACGCTGCTTGCACATCTCGTTCAGAGCGGGCCAGTACGTGGCGTGGTCGTACTCAAAGTCCATTTCGCCGCCCCAGTCCAGGCTCCAGAGCTGCTCGGGAGGCACATACTGCTTCATGTCCTCATTGAACTTGAGCTTCTCCCTCGTCACGGGGTCGATGAAGGGCGTGATGATCTTGAAGAAGCCCCAGACGAT